ATTTGTGTGTACATATTTCCTGTAGAAGAGTGGCTCAGTATTGACTAATTCAACAGTCATGCAACTTTAGAGAATGTAAGAATGTAACACAAATAATGAGAATTCACTGTATAGAGAGAATTCTGCAGATTCCACCAAAGAACTATTAGCGTTAATAATCAAGTTCAAGGTTACAGGATACAAGATCAATATACAAAAGTCAGTTGTTAGCAATGAAAAACCCAAAAATGAAATTTAAGGAAAAATTCCTTTTACAATAAATCAAAAAATAAAATATTTAAGAATAAATTTAACAAAAGAAGTACAAGAGTTGTATGTGAAAAGACCCCACACACAAAATGTTGAATTAAAGAAGACCTAAATTAAAAGAATATCCCATATTCATGGATTGGAAGACCTAATATTCTTAAGATGGCAGTACTTCCCAAATTGATGTACAGATTCAACTTACTACTTATCAAATTTTAACTGCCTAGAAGAAATTGATGAGCTGATCATAAAATTCATATGGAATGAAAGAGACCACAAATATCTTGAAAAAGAACAAAGGTGTATATGAGAAACCCTACAGATATCTTGAAAAAGAACAAAGGTATATATGAGAAACCCACAGCCAACATTATACTTAAGAGCGAGAAGCCGAAAGCTTTTCCCTTAAGACCGGGAACAAGACAAAGATGCCCACTCTCCCCACTTTTATTCAACATAGTTCTGGAGTTCCTAGCCACAGCAATCAGACAACTCAAAGAAATAAAAGGCATCCAGATTGATAAGGAAGAAGTCAAACTGTCCCTGTTTACAGATGACATGATATTGTACATAAAAAACCCTAAAGAATACACTCCAAAACTACTAGATCTAATATCTGAATTCAGCAAAGTTGTGGGATACAAAATTAATACACAGAAATCTGTTTCATTCCTATTCACTAATGATGAACTAGCAGAAAGAGAAATCAGGAAAACAATTCCATTCACAATTGCATCAAAAAGAATAAAATACCTAGGAATAAACCTAAACAAGGAGTGTAAGACCTATACCCTGAAAACTATGGGACACCCTTAAAAGAAATTAAAGAGGACACTAATAAATGGAAATTCATACCATGCTTTTGGCTAGGAAGAATTAATATCACCAAAGTGGCCATTCTGCCTAAAGCAATCTACAGATTTAATGCAATCCCTATCAAAATACCTAAAGCATTCTTCAGTGAACTAGAGCAAATAGTTCTAAAATTCATATGGAATGACAAAACACCCCGAATAGTCAAAGCAATCCTGGGAAGGAAGAATAAAGCAGGTGGAATTACGTTCCCTGTCTTCAAGCTCTACTACAAAGCCACAGTAATCAAGACAATTTGGTACTGCCACAAGAACAGACCCAAAGACCAGTGGAACAGACTAGAGAGTTCAGATATAAGCCCAAGCATAGATGGTCAATTAATATATAATAAAGGATCCATGGATATACAATGGGGAAATGATAGCCCCTTCAACAGCTGGTGTTGGCAAAACTGGACAGCTACATGTAAGAGAGTGAAACTGGATTATTGTCTAACCCTATACAGAAAAGTAAACTCAAAATGGATCAAAGACCTGAATGTAAGTCATGAAACTGTAAAACTCGTAGAAAAAAATATAGTAAAAATCTCTTGGACATAAACATGAGCAACTTCTTCCTGAACATTTCTCCCCTGGCAAGGGAAACAAAAGCAAAAATGAACAAGTGGGACTATGTCAAGCTGAAAAGCTTCTATACATCTAAGGATACCATCAGTAGAACAAAAAGGCGTCCTACAGTATGGGAGAATATATTCATAAATGACAGATCTAATAAAGGGTTGACATCCAAAATACATAAAGAGCTCTCGCACCTCAACAGACAAAAAGGAAATAATGTAATTAAAAAATGGGCAGAGGATCTGAACAGACACTTCTCCAAAGAAGAAATTCAGATGGCTAACAGGCACATGAAAAGATGCTCCACATCGCTAATCATCAGGGAAATGCAAATTAAAACCCCAATGAGATATCACCTCACAGCAGTTAGGATGGCCAACATCCAAAATACAAACAACAACAAATGTTGGCGAGGATGTGGAGAAGGGAAACCCTCCTACACTACTGGTGGGAATGTAAATTAGTTCAACCATTGTGCAAAGCAGTTTGAGGGTTCCTCTAAAAACTAAAAATAGAAATACCATTTGACCCAGGAATCCCACTCTTAGGAATTTACCCTAAGAATGCAGCAGCCAAGTTTGAAAAAGCCATATGCACCCCTATGTTTATCACCACACTATTTACAATAGCGAAGACATGGAAGCAACCTAAATGTTCATCAGTAGATGAATGGGTAAAGAAGATGTGGTACATATACATAATGGAATAGTATTCAGCCATAAGAAGAAAACAATTCCTACCATTTGCAACAACATGGATGGAGCTAGAGGGTATTATGCTCAGTGAAATAAGCCAGGCAGAGAAAGACAAGTATCAGTTGATTTCACTCATTTGTGGAGAATAAGAACCAAGCAAAAACTGAAGGAACAAAACAGCAGCAGAATCACAGAACCCAAGAAGAATGGACTAACAGTTCCCAAAGGGAAAGGGCCTCTGGAGGATGGGTGGGAAGGGAGGGATAAGGGGGGGAAAATCATGGCATTGTGATTAGCACACATAATGTGGTGTTGGGGCATAGGAAGGCCATCAATACGGAGAAGACAATTAGTGATTCTATAGCATCTTACTGCGTTGGTAGACAGTGACTGTAATGGGGTATGTGGTGGGAATTTATAATAGGGGTAGTTTAGTAACCATAATGTTGCTCATGTAATTTTGCATTAATGATACCAAATTTTTTCAGAAAATGAAATGAGCCAGTACATACAGCAACATGGATGAAGCTCAAAAAACTATGTTAAGTGAAAAAAGCCAGATATAAAAGTATATAATATATGATTACATTCTAGAAAAGGCAAAACATTTCTATTATGAGCAAAAATCAGAATGGTGCCTAGGGCCAGAGGATTGGGGACCACCTGGATAAGTAGAGGGAACTCTTTGGGATGGCTGGCATGTTGTATCTTCTGTGTAGTGTAGGTATGCTTATCATTCAACCGTACATTTAAAATGGATGAATTGTATTATATATTCATTATATGAAATAAAAATTAAAAGGAAAAAAATAAATAAACCTTTTAGTTTAGAGTCCTACAAAAATACTTAAGTAATAATTCCTCTCTCATTTATGAAGATAACCTGACCTTGCTGTAAGAATGTATAATATGAGAAAAATTACAGACTTGATTCACTGAAAAACAATATATAATGGTGATAGAGCAATACTGAGTTGGATTCATCCTCGAAATTAAAGGTAGGATTAAGAAACCTACATTAGAAAACCAGTCAATGCAGTTTGTCACATTACCAGATTGAAGGAGAAAAATCCTATCAGTATATGTAGAAAAAAATTAGGTGATGAAGTCCAGTATCTCTTCATGAAGATAGCAGAGCAAAGGTAACTTTCTCAGTGGGACATATATTTTAAAGAAATTTATATTTAATGGTGAAACCTTTTATTTAAATTTATTGAGTTTTAAATAGGCAAGCTAAGTCTAAAACTTATAAGGAAAAGCAGAGGGCTAAGTATACCCAATGTACTTTTAAATAGGGTTGAAATAGTGTTTGACATTGTAATGGTTTGTGGTCCTCCAAAGCTTAACCCCACCTGGGAGTATTTTTAGTATTTAATTTCTCTGAGTTTTCTTGAATATTACATAAGCACCATTTATACTGTCATTGAGTTTGTGGAAGGTATACAAAGCGTATGTAAGGTCAGTGCTACAAAACTGGTAGATAGGTCATTGGAGGATTTTGAGATGACTAATTAATCTGGAAGTCATCAGTAGAGATAGTCTACACATGCCAGTAGATTGCTATTGGCTGCCTTTTGATTTTGTTGTTGATGTTTGATACTTCATGCTTTCGTGTGTGACTTCGTTTTTTAGAATTAAATAAAAATATCCTTTTTTATTCAATCAAATAAAAATTATTCAACTTGTCAGTTATGTCAAGTACTGAAGAGAAAGAAAAAAGATCAACAATATCTTAATGAATATCTGGCAGCTAATTAATTTAAAAGTTTCTCAAATGATGCAAAAGTTGAAAGTTTACAAAATACTGTAGGAAACTAGTTTTTTCAGTTGTTTTACTTGGCTATTAAAAGTAATTTTAATTTCTTAAAAATGTGCTCTTATTATATTAATGGACAATTTGCATACATAATTTGATACAGCACAGTTTATAGAAGTAAATTATATTAAAAAGCAAATAGCTAAGTGAAATATTTATAGACTGAAATTTTAACTTTTAACTTAAAATTTTATTTGGTCATTTGCAACCCTGTATTGAATAAAAAGTAGACTTTATACACTTTTAATATATAAAGTCACAGATATACATACAGTATATAAACAGTATACTGATGGTACTAAAATTTCATAGGGGAGTGATAAGGAGAAAATATCCGAAAAGGCTGTTTAGGTGGATAATGGAAGAAAGAAAAGCTAAGAAACACTTGTCTAGAAATAATATATATAAAGGCGGTAAAACTATAAAGAAAAGCAGAGAAGTGATTATCATAACATTCAGGATTACCACATTTACCTCTGGGGAAAAGGTAGGTGCTCAGTCCTTCTAGAGTTTTGAGAGTGGTCTGTTTCTTGACCTGCGTGGTGGCCACTGAGGTGTTAACCATATAATTAAGCATTAGTCTCTGTTTATCTTTCATGTACTTTTTTGTATGGTTAGTATATTTCATGGTGAAAAAAAGTAGTATGTAGATTTTAAATTGTAGAAATGCAGAATATTATTTAGATTTTACATATGTATTATTAGGAACTAAATCTCTAACTTGGTAAGATTTCTTAATTAAAAAATAGATGTTATATGATGAAAAGCTTTTATGAACAAAACAGAAAGTGCCACTTCTTTTTTTCTCAGGTGGGCCCAATTCTTCATCCATCCACTGATGATCAGAGATGCAATTGACCGTGAAGTTGAAGCTGTTGATAGTGGTAAGAGAAGTGCTTTCTGTATTGTAACTACTTTTTATTTAATTAAACCAGTTATTTAGCACATTTATTATTCTTTATCACTAGACCATTTTATATCTGTATCGTAAAGGGTTATATTGAAATAGATGTGTCATGTTTATTCCTAAAGCCATTAAATGTCTACTTCAGTATAGATTTGAAATAAATTAAGCAGATGGTAGATTATCGTTTTTTCAGTCTTTGTTTTTTGAGGGTTTTACCATAGTCGCTAATCTTTTACAGGACTGTAGCCTAGTTTTTAAAGCTAATACTGGGTCTTAAAACTTCATAAGTTCACATGCTCCTTTTGCATCCAGAGACATTTTCCCTGAGGCTTTAAGTACAACCCTGATACTGAATAGTTTATCCTTTGTGACCTGTGTACACACACAGGTACTCTTTGGCGTGAATTTCGGTAGTTCTGAATACAATTGTGTTATATTTATGGATGAAGAAACTAAATTCCTGACCAGAAAATGCATTTAATTTTATTTTTTGACAGTTTTCCTTATCCTTTGGGATTTAAAAAATGAAGACAATAATGAACTGTGTGCTTATATAGGGCAAGGCTTCATTATGGAGCTGTGCTATTAAAACCCTTAATTACAATAAATAGAAGCACTGCTTGCCTTGTTTTAGCATTAGAAATAGTAATAGTAGGCTTAGGGGGACTACAGTTCACCACAGTTCATAGGTTAGGCTTGGCTTACAACAACTGATAAGGCAAGGGCTCTCTACTTGTTCTTTTGTCACATTTTTCTCCTTGGCTTGATTTAGTGTCTAGTTCTAATAATGACTTAATGCATTCACCAGGCTGAGTAAACTGCAGATGGCTAGAAAGAGTCATCCATCTGAAAGTTAGCAGACTTTTGTTTTAGCTATTGAAAAGTTACTGTGGCCCTCAGTTTATTTGTAAAAGTGGGTGGGATGGAGTTATATTTCTTCCTAGCTCAAGGAGCAGCTTGTAATCAAGGATTTATTTTCTTCATTATTGTTACTTGCCTACCACAGTGTCTGCCTACCACAGTGTCTGCATAGGCCCAGATAAATATTTGTTGAGTGGATGACAAACCAAACTAACCAAGGAAAATTCTAAAAGCCTTTCCTACTTGAGACTCAAGAACTATTCTCTGTCTTAAATGCTTTCAAGTATGTTTTTCTTCATACTAGAAAGATTAAGGATCCTGAGGAGAGATTATCCTAGATTATCTGCATGGTCCCAAAGTGATCATAAGTTTCCTTATAAGAAAGAAGAAACAGGATCAAAAGAATCTCTTCCGTAAGCAAGTTTCTAGAGTGGGTTGCAATTGGTATTTAGAAAATTTAAATATTGAATTTGATTTTACAAGTTGAAGTCAAAATATATTTTATTGTATTTTGAAATATGCAGAAGTACATGTACATATGTATACATATGTGATGTATAATAATCTACATACACATACAATAAATAGTTTAGATTTAAGATGAACTTAAAGGCTCTGTTTTTGTTTTTGTTTTGTTCATTTGTTTCTTTTTGATGATAGGAGACTTCAATTTGTTATCTGATACAAATACCTAGGTATGTTCTTAGTCATTTAACCTTTTAAGTATGCAGGAAGACCAGGAAGTTGTAACTGGTGTAATAAATTACTTTACTATTCATTTACCAGTTTTGAAAGCACAATAATCAGATGTTGTTTTCTTCTCATCAGATGTGATAGTCTTTTGTTCTATCTTGTCTCATTCACATGTTTTTAGTTGCCTGCATGCTTGGATGGCCTATTCCATGTAAGAGAAGTTGAAGGGAGGTTTAACTGTCTTGGCAGATTCATTTTCATTTTCCTTTACTCCTCTCCACTTGCTTATGGAAGAGATTCTTTCTTTCCTGGTTTTTAAATTTATTATCTAGTTCTAACTTCATTACCTTATCACTGTGCCCTGAATTGACAATCTGTTTCTGGCGTACTCTTTCAGTGACGTGATTATACACATGCATAGGAAACATTTATTTGCACAACACAGATAGGTCTGTTTGGTGTTTTACAGTTTTCTTAAGAACACTTAATACTAGAAGCTCATGTAAGTGTCTACAGGGTAGGTTTTAAAATGGGATTAATTAGTTGGTGAAGAAGACTATAGAGAAAAAAATTATTCCTAATGATAAGCTCTTTACTCTCAAATGAGCATGTGTAATTGCCTACATAGTATGTCCTAGTGATTGAGATTGAGGATATGGCCAAAGCCCCCCCCTTTTTTTTTTTACCTAATCCAGTAGCAAAGAGTGCTGTGTTCTGATATTTATATCCTATTTTTATCAGTTTTAGGGGTAGTAAATCACTTCCTATGAATATGTTTACATATTCTGGCCTATTACTTTCCTGTTCCTGCTGTAATGAACTGTCAGAAAGTTAGTGGCTTGAAATAGCAAATTAATTTTCTTAAACTTGGGGGTCAGAAGTCTAAAATATCCTTTTAGGGCTTTATTCCTTTTGGAGGCTCCAAGTGAAAATCTGTTCCCTGGCCGTTTCCACTTTCTAGATACCACCTACAGCCCTAGGCTGTGGCTCCTTTCTCTATGTTATGAGCCATCAGTTTAGAATCTTCTCTCTTCTCTTACCTCTGCTTCTGTCCTTATATTTTTCTTTGGTTTCCTTTACTCCTCTCCACTTGCTTATGGAAGAGAATCTTTTGATCCTGTTTCTTCTTTCTTATAAGGAAACTTATGATCACTTTGGGACCATGCAGATAATCTAGGATAATCTCTCCTCAGGATCCTTAATTTAATCACACCTGCAAAGTTCCTTTCACCACATAAGGTAACATATTCACAGATTTTGGAGATTAGGATGTACACATCTTTGGCGGAGGTCATTATTCAACCTACCACACTTAATAAAGGAATTGTTTCTCCTGTGTTAATAATATCTTCATATTGTTGATTTAGACTTTATGGCATATTCAAGTATTTTACTGAACATGCTTACTTCTCTTTCTTTCCATCCCTACTATAATCACTTCAGTTTCAACTCTCTTCACCAAATGTAAAAGTGATGACTTTTGCTTCCCTTAAATCTCTTGCAACTGGAATGGATTTACCAAGTCCAAATCTGATAATGTCACTATCCTAAATATCTGCAATGCCTTACCATTACTCCTATGATAAATAAATAACATTTATTGAGCACTTTTTTTGTGTATTATTGTGATTGTCACTATCTCATTATCCTCATTTGACACATAATGAAATTGAGGCTTAGCGTGTTTAAATAATTAACCCAGAGTCCAGAAATTCATTTCCCCAAGGACCCAAAGTTAACAGTGATGCCAACTGTATGATACCAAGGTCTGTACTCGTACACATGAAATACTGCCTCCCAAAGGTCTTACTAGGCTCTTTCAAAAATGGTTTCTTCTTTGTATCTCCAGCCTGATGCCTTGCCACTCCTTTGATTCTGAATGTTGTTCAATCACATTGACAGTCTTCCTGTTTTTCAGAGGTGCCATATTCTCCTCTTTCAAGTTTTTCTCTTGAGAATGTTCTGCATATTCCCATTTCTCCCTCCCTATTCCCTAGAAAACTTCATTTGTCTCTCAAGGCTCAGCTTAAGTCACTCCCTGAGAAGCCTGTGTCCCTGAGCCCACCCCCCAAAGTAAATTCATACATGAAAATAAGACAAAATTAGGTTAAGTGACAGTCTTTTTATATTCTCATAATACCCTGTGTTATAGCACTTAACTATAGTGATCTGTAATTTCTACTAGGCTCTAATCTCCTTTTAAACAACTCCACTGGCCTCTTTGCCATGTTTGAATTCATGTAGGTATTTCTTGTAAAGCCTTTGAATTTATAATTTCCATACATGGGAACCTTCTCCCAGATATTTTTATGAAATCATCCTTACTTTATTTGGATTCTGCTCACTTGTTATCTCCTCAGAGAGATCTTCTGTGATCACCTGCCACCACTCTTCTTTCCCTTACCAGGTTTATTTTTCCTTTTAGCACCCATCACTGACTAATATTGTTAAAATCTATTTGTTGGCTTATTTATTATCTCCCCTGCTAGAATGTAAACCCCTTGAGGGCAGAGAATTGGTCTGCCAATAAAAGGGAAAATTGGTCCCTTTTATTCACATTTCTACCTCTAACAACTAGTTCCATAGTACTGGCCACATAGTAGATGTTCAGTAAATATTTGTTGAAGGAATGTATCTTATTTAATCCTTATAAAAATCCTATGAACTAGATGCTAGTAACTTCATTTTATAGATGAAGAAATAAAATCAGGGGAGTTAGATAATTTCCTTGAGGTGGTACAACTTGGATTCTAGCCAAGATATTTCTGACTTCAAAGTGATTATTAACCACTAATATACTTTATTATCAACATACTTGGCTTTGGGGAAAGTTTAAATAATATATATGACAAATTGCCCAGATAATAAGGAATTTGATTGAATATTTTATTAGCATTTTCATCAATAAAAACTTGCATATAGCATCCTAAGAGTTAAACCCTTTCAGATCATTAAACTACCTTGTTTCATTTGAAAATAAGGGAAAACCTCTAGAAAGGTGAATTGACTACCCGAAGTTACAGAATATTTTAAGTCATAGAGCCAGGCCTAGATCATTGCATTCTCTACTTCAGTCTTATACACATGATTCATTAAATTAATATTTGTTACTTCCTTATTTTCAGTTCTGTAAACTTGAACTCCCAGATAGAAAAGCAGATATTGAACTTCATTTTATTAAAAGGGTTTCTTTAAAACTAACAGAATATCAACTTGCAAGACCTTCTGATGCAAACAGAAAGGAAATGTTGTTTGGAAGCCTTGCTAGACCTGGACATCCTATGGGGAAATTTTTTTGGGGTAAGATGCCAAATACTTATTTCATATTTTCTAGTTAAGGAAGATAGAGAATATGAAAGTTGATAAAGAATGGAAGGTTATAAAGGTAGGGTACTAGGTGCTTTTTACCTTTTAGGGTAGGTAGGGTAGGTAGAAAGTAGGTGAGCATGCCTATATTTGGTTCTCTAACATTGGATATATCAAGAATAGCACCTAATAATAATATTGTGAATGCTTTTTGGGTACCAGATGCCTGCTAATACTACATGAATTATGTCATTTGATCATCATAGCAATGTTAGGAGCTTGCTACCATTATCTGTATTTAAAGATAAATAAATAAGCTCAAGGAAGTTATTTAATTTGCTTAAATTACACAATGATAAAGGTGGGATTTGAACCTGTTGTAAAGTCTGTGCTCTACCCCAACCTGATATTTCCATTTATCAATAGAGATTCAGCAATAATTTCTCTAATAGTTTTTGAGCTATGACCTAATTTTGTATAACTGGTAAGCTGTTTAAATGGTATCTGTTTTTCATAAATGGCCTTTCTTAGTGTTCGAATCCAGATTTAGTTTCTTATTAATCCTCTTGACCATAGAGTTGAATCTGGAAAGAGTTGATCTAAACAGTACTTCATTCAAAGGATGTTTGCTTCCCTGTAAATTTTGTGCTGTTATATGCATTTTATATGACATCCTTGCTTTATGTGGTTTATTTTTAACAATTATGCAGAATATTATTAAAAAATTCTGAGATAAACCTGAATTGAATACTAAACTATTTATTAAGAAAGGAAGCTTAAGGCAATTACTGTTGTTGAGGTATTGTTAACTAGACATTAATTCCTTATGTGCTAAAACATATTTCAGAATTGTTTCTTGTGATTTTTTTTGTCTTATATTGATAAATTATCACTATTATTATACACTTGTTCAATATTGAGTCACTTGGGTTACTTCATTAGTTTAGTAGCAGAGCATGCATTGTTTATAGAAAGTTTTACAAAGTAAACTTAGTTATTTCTATAATCTTGTTCATCTTTTTACAGGAAATGCTGAGACTCTCAAACATGAGCCAAACAAGAACAATATTGATACACATGCCAGGTTGAGAGAATTCTGGATGCGTTACTATTCTGCTTGTTACATGACTTTAGTGGTTCAATCCAAAGGTAATATTAACTGCTATGGCCTTTAGAATTATTCTGAAGTAGTGCTTTCTTAGGATTTGTTTGCCTTGATTAGTATTGCAGTACACAATTACTTAATGCCTGACCCTAACACAAACTAAAGGAAATCAGGATTTGGAAAGGTCACACACCAAGTGGCACAGCTAAAGAGCAGCACATAATCCTCTGATTCTCAGGCAAATGTTTTTTCTCTTATAGACATAGTCTGTGAGTATACAAAAATATTAATAGGTCATGAATTGATCTTTTAAGCCTCATTGAGCTGTTGCCTCTCTTATCTCTGGTTTTACATTTAATTTGGATTGATCATAAACTCTAACAGCGCAAAGTGTCTGTCTTTTCATCCTTACATAGGGTCCAGTAAAATGGCATGATTAATTGAAATCCATCATGGTGATGATAGCAGAAGCATGTTAAGTGTGAAATACTGATTAATACTACTACTCTTTTTCTTCTTTTATCATTTCTCCAGTAACTGTAACTGATGTTAATTCTTTCTCATTAAAGAAATCATTGTAGCTTTATTTTGTTTTCTTTATATTTCAGTCTCCTTAGGCTATTTTTTACAGTCAGTCAGTTGCTAAACTATTCCTTTTGACATACCTTAGAGTTTGCACATTTCTTTTTAAATAGGTAATCCTCTCACCCTAATAGGATTCTCCTTTTCATACAGTTTTGTTCTCTCATTGTCAAAGTTAAGATCAGAGCTGACTTGGCACTTAAATCTAAAATATTTTTGCAATATTAGTCCACTGAAGTTGACTTGAGTGTAAAGTCATGGATATGGTATGGTGGGTTCTTTTCTTGAAACTATAGATGTGCTTCTAGATTCCTTGTACAACATGTTAAAATTAAGCCATTCCATATTCAGTATGTAATACTAATTTGTAATTTTTACTTATCATTTCCAAATCTATCATGAACATGCATTTTTCTTCAACCTAGGTACTATTTCTTTTGCATTCTCTTCCTCTGTGGTGACAAATATAAGAGCATATTAATGCTTGTTGCAGATTTCTAAAGTCAGCCCCAGATACTTGATAAGAGAGTCTTGCACACTCTAAATACAGTTGATTTTACTTGAGCATTTATTTTACCATTTAAGAGTTAAATATCTATGTAAATAGTATAGAATAAATTTAGAACTTGGTTTGTCTAATTTGCATCTTGCCTATTACATAACTGGGGCATCTCTTTTGAGAATTAGTGAAACTTGTATTTGGTACTAACAGATACTATCTAGTGATGTAATAAGTCACGGGATAAAATTAAAGCTTTCCTTTTTCACTTGGATCTGCTTTACTAGAAATGTCAAAAGAATTTCTTATTAAAAAAAAAAGAGCCAAAAGAAGATAAAAATCATATATATATGAAACCTAAGAGGAAGATGTATTAAAACCTAAGGAAGTATAATGTAAAAATAAATTGAGTATAAAGGTACTAATGAGCTATCGAGGAGAAGGGTCAGTGTAGTGTGGGTTAATTGGGAGAAACCTTCCTAGAGAAAGGAAGTTTTGGAATGGAGTAGGAGGATGATTGGTGTATTCTTATCTCTTTGCCCTTCACACTAAACTAATGATAAACAAACTTTTTTTTTAAACTTGTGTGCTTTTTCTAATTTTACCAGGTTAAAAAATAAAGGAGTCTAACAAAATTATATGTGTCTTAAAGTTTTCTTTGTTATTTTTCCTGTTTCTTATTACTGGTTAAGAAGTGGCAACTAATGCCCAAATTAAAGTATTCCTTTGTTTTATAGCTAAAGATCTGTGAGAAATATAATTGTGTTTCTAACTTGAACAACATTGCGTTTCCCTATCTCTTCCCTGCCCTCTCCACAAGAAACACTGGATACTTTGGAAAAGTGGGTGACAGAAATCTTCTCTCAGATACCAAACAAGTAAGACATTTCATTAATAATACACCTTTAAAGAGGCATCTTCTTGTATGAGTCTCAAAAGTTTTTTCTTTCAGCTTATTTCTTAAACATGTGATTAAATTAAGACCTTATGTGGTTTAGCAAGATCACATAGCTTTTGAGTGGGAAAACTGAGATAAGTTAAATTTCCATAGTTTCTGTAGTTCAGAATTTACAAGCTTATAAACTTACAGTAAGCAGTAATTCTGAAGAATTTAGGGCTCCTTTTACATTTATTCAGAGCTTTTTTCTTACTGTGTACTGTTTAAAACTGTGATGCAAAAGCAAGTATTGTATTGAGAGGCTTTATATATTTATTTACTTATTTATATGTATATTTATATAATATACACACACACACACACACATATATATATATATAATATGCACACATATCCTCTGTCTCAAAGAAATTATGTTTCTAAATCAGTTATTTGGAATTTGGAATGTCCCATAAGAGAAATAATTCTGTACATGATGATTGACTTTGTATACTTCCCAAAAAGTCCATTTCATATAATTGAACCAAATTATTTATTATTAGAAACTGTATATAGGGTTCCAGTTCAGAAAGTGATTTTTTGGCTACTTTAAAGTTATCAAAATTGCACAGTATTTAAAAGACACTTCTTTGTTTTATTTTTGTTACAAAGATTACAAAAAAATTTAATTCTGAAGCAATTAAGTCTTTCTTCCCACTCCTAGCAGTTTGCATTTTAGTAAAATAAGTGAAATCAGATTTTTTTTTCTTGCCTCAGGTGAGTAAGCTAGATTTTTCCCAGTTCTTCATTCCAAAGCATAATTTATTTTAAATTTATGAAAGAAAATTGGCTTTAAAGTAGTAGAATAATTTGTAGTAACAGCTGATTAGTTATTATTGTCTTGGCTCTATATAAATTTCCACTGGTAATTAACTACTTTTTATGTGTAAAATGATAATGAAAGCCATGCCAAAGCCCTGGGGTTGTTTTATGTGTTTTTGTTTGTTTTTGTTATGAAATGAATATGAACAATGGAAATGTCAAATGGCAAATTAAAACATGTTTCCTTGTGAAATTTTACTGATAAAATCAGAGGTGTACTGCATAGAGGGATTCATTATTAGGTCCTCTCAATCCCTGATGAACATTTTTTAAAAACCTTTTAAATATTGTTCACTAATAATTTTGGTTCCTTAATCAGACAGGTTAAAAGGTCTAGGTATTTTAAAGTGAATTCATATTAATTCTTAGAAGAATTATTAATTATAGTATCTTCAACCAGATGAGAAGCTTCTAGAAGGAGAGTCCATATTATTTAGGTACCACAGTCCCTAATACAGTGCTTTATACCTAATAATCACTTCATATGTATTATTGAATTTTTTAAAAATCTCTGGTATAAATTTTCTTTCCAAAATGGCTTTATATAGGAGGAGAACTGAAGATGAATTGGGCTGATAGAGGCAGTAAATATTGGGAGGGAGGTCCCTTCAATTCATTGTTTTCTATCTCTTTTGAGTTTTAAAGGTATTTTAGTTATTGGGACTAAAGATTAAAAATAGGTTGTTTAATTAGTTCAGGATTTTGTGGCTTTGTTGCCATCTATTCATGTATGCCTAAATGCTTTTCAGTCAGAAATATGTAGAATAGATTATAAATACCTATCAGTTAGGCATCCCTAAAGATAATGCTTATAAAGGCTTTTGCCAATTAAATTTTAATGTATTTGTTTTATTTTCAGTGGGTTACCCAAACCAAACTTTGGCCATTTAACGGATCCATTTGACACACCAGCATTTAACAAACTTTATAGAGGTTCGTGAACCAAAGGTTTAAAACTGTTTGAAATAACTTTAGCACATTCTCTAAAACTTAATTGAGACTGCCAATTTTCTTTGAAAATGAGAACACAACAGAAAGTACAGCTGAATTGGAAAGGGAGTATATGGACAGTGGAGATCCAGTTAGTGACAGATAACAGGCCACTAACTAGCAGCAGAATTGATTGGTCTAGTACGCTGCTGCTACTTGAGTCTGTTTCATGCTTTCTCCCTGTTTCCCCTTGTTCCCTTTTGCTCTTTGGTTTTTTGTTTCTTTCTTATTTTATCTATATATCATTTTATCTATATCTTCTTTTTTACCTTTCAAAAGAGAAAAACAGAGAAGGGGAAACCATTTTGGAAACCACATTTCCTCGTATCTTCCTTATAAAAGAAGTTTTTGTTAGATGAAGAAAAATTTAATGTGTAAAGAAATAGGGGGAAATATCACCCTTATATCTTACCATCCAGAGAAGTCATTTTGGCAAATTGCCCTTTGAGTTTATGTAGGTATGTTTTCTTAATGTAGTTGAGATTATAAGATTATACACTTCTCTTTCCTTTTTCATTTAATATTATATTTGTAATAATTGCCTAGTGAGCCATCACATGGTTATGCTATAATATACTTAACAATTTGCCCAAATGAATAATGCAGACATTCTTAACTCATCATTTCTCTTTGTTCCCTTTTTTATCATGACAGATTATTTTCTCTTTCTCTTAATTGCCTAGGTATTCCCTTCTCCTCTTCCTTCACCCAATTGCCACTCTCTTTCCTCTCCCCCTCCTCTAATCAATGACTGTTGCACCCTTGTCTGCTGCTAGTTCCATTCTATTTTAGCTGACTCTTCCTAGAGACAACTTACGTTCAGTTGTATTCTTTCTGGCCGTAGATTTTGTCTTCATAGAACCATAGAATAATAGTGCTGGGAAGAATCTGAGAGCTACTTCAGCCTAACTCACTCACCATACAGTAAGAAAAGAGATACAGAAAGATTTAAATACATGTAATTTTCTCAAGGTCATGTAACACGTAGTAAGATAAAGGTAGAGCTGGATTTCGACTATGGGTCTCCTGATTCCTAGTCCTGTATCCTTTCTTGTAAGAAGGGATCCATCCTCAGGAGCATTTTGATTTTCATAGTTCTTTTATCCATGTTTTCTCTATCTATGAAATCAAATTGAAAAGAAATTTATAAAAATTGTATTATTCAAACTGGAAAATTGGCAACTTGAAATAATGATTACACTGTATTTAACCTTCCCTGTTTAGTTGAGGATGAAATATATTGAGTTTTTAAAAAATTTCATGTAACATAGTAAAACTTATGGAGGAACATTTATATCTATTTTTCTGAAAAATATTTTTGTTTAGTTGTTCCAGTCAGAAAAATTCATGCTCTGACCATCACATGGGCACTTCCTCCTCAACAACAATATTACAGGTAAGAGTTCAAGGGCAAATTTACTCTATTAAGTACTCTAACAGTCATATTTTTAAAGCGTACTAAAAGGTTTAGAGGGATCTGGATTTATAAATAAAGGTAATGTGGTAAACTGGTAAATTAATTACTACTGATTTTTCAAGCCCTGTTGTGTATTTTAATATCTTTCTGTTTATTAAAAACTAGGGCTTTTTTTATAATTAGTTATCTTTCCTGAGTCTTTGAAATTCAGTATCTTAGTATGAATGCTAACTTTTGTAACTATTTTCTTTAGTACTTCGAGTACAAAAGTGTATTAGCTTATGATTTATTTGTTACTAGTGACCATTTAGTTTGATCTTGTCTAAGTAAAGTTAAATAATTTTGCACCTGGAATTTGCTGCATAAATCTCAAGGGTTTACTCCTTTGAATTAAGAATGAGTGAGAAAAGGTTTATACAAATTAGGAAAATATTCAACTTGTTTATATAGTTATCTTACATGAACAATATAGCATGTACCAAGAAGCTCTTTCAGAATGGGGGTCAATGTCTGCAAGTATATTTCTATATATAAATAAATGCCAAAGAACTGATAAAAATTTAACTTAGCTTTTTAAAACTATTACCAACAAAAGCATGAAGGCACAAGCAGAAGACAGTAATTCGTATTGCTTATATAAGCTCAGTAAAATGCTTTTTTTAACATTTATGTTAGAATATTAGAGTAAGTTTTAATGAAGTTAACATGAACAGTATTAACCACCAGTGAGAAAGCAGAAAACATGTATATTGTTTACTTGCCTTCATTGCAAGGATAATGTAGGAAAAAGTAGTACATACTTATTGTATAGTTATGTTAGAGTATCCCAAAAAGTATTGAGTTATTATACACATATTTAGAAGTTTATTCTGTTTGCCTTAAATTTTTGCTATAAAAATAATACATGCTTTTAAAATACTAAAATAGGACAAAAGAGTTTTAAAAGTAAAGCCATGCTTTTCCTTTTGTCTCTGTCCTCAAAGATGTGCCCAACATTAACAGTTTCTTACATATATCCTTCAGACATTAAAACAATGATTATTAAACTTCTTTTTTATGGAAATCAAACTCTACTATGTATACTATTCCTTTTTTTAATTTTTGGCAATGTTTATTACTTAATAAAGCCTTGTTTATTCTCTGATTGATTACTAAGGTACGTGAATTCCTAGTAAATTTGCTTTTTTGGGGAGCCATTATTTACAAATAAGAAAGTGTTTATCCTTTCAGAGTTACCAAATATAGTACAGTTAGTTTTGTTCAGATGCAAATGTTGGATGACCATCTGGGTTTACTCTTCAGCTGATTTGTTCACCTATATCAGTCTTAAATATAAATATAATTCAAATTCAAATTTTAAACAATGTGTGGGCTTTGGGGATTGTTTAACATAGTTGAAATCATTATGTCTTTTAAGGCTTTACTGAACATAGTTCTGTAAACTCATTTTAAGTTTTAAGAATGTTTAGATATTTAACCTAATTTTTCTGTATATTTTTGTTTTGGTAGGAATACATTTCCAAAGCTATAGTAAAAAGCCAGTGGGAAGAGACAGAATAACATACACAACTACTCAGACTATTAAGTATTAAAGTATATTATTATATAGTAAAGCATTTTACTGGTGTCATGAAAACCATTTAAATAAGTAGTTAGGCAAGTGAAGATAAAAAGAAAAATGCAGTGAGACTTTGTCTTGCCAAGATCATGCATTTATTTAAGGGAAAAAGTAAAACTATAAGCCATATTTTCTGACATATAAAGCAGCACATTTTAGTTTACTACAGAACCTGATGGAATACTGGAAGCCTTTACAGATGCAGAGTGATTTATATCTGTATTAGACTCTAAAATGATACAGAATCTATATTATTTCCATTTTGGGTAAAACAAAAATGAAAGATTTTACCGTGAAAGGAATTAAGTTTGATGTCTAAGAAAAAGTAATAAATTTTGGAGTGATTACACTATTCAGTGATTTTGGATGAAGAAATTAAATATTCCCATGTTTTCTGTTTTTATCTTGCTGCTATAAAATTATCATTTCATGTGTAGTGGAATTTATATGAGAGAAAGTTTATAATCATATTCTCAAATATCAGTCTTAGTAAAATTTCCTGGTATACTTATACCTTAATTATTTTTATTTCTGACCTTAACTTTTTTTTTTAAGGGTGAAGCCACTTCATTATATCTCTTGGCTAGTTGGACATGAAGGCAAAGGCAGCATTCTTTCTTACCTTAGAAAAAAGCAAGTATTCAATTAACAAGTATTCTCAGTGTAGCAATCTCTGAAAAATAGGAGATAGTAAGTGTTGTATAACCCTTCTTTTCTGATTTAGCTCTGTCTGCTAGGAAGCCTAAAATCAAATCTAGTGCTTAATTATAGTAATTTTAATGACCATATTTTATTTGTGTATTTTTTTGGAAGCTGCCTTATGTTGAAAGTAGTTGTACATAGAGGTTTTTAAAATTACGAATAGATTCCAGAATTACATAAAAGATCAGTTCTAATCAAGAATTTTGATTTGAATAGTAAATAAATAAATTATTTAAATGCTGTGGATCTCTAGGCTTTCCCAACCCAAGAAGGAGACTTTAATGAAAATTTATCATTGGGCAGATAAATCATTAGTAGGTGGGACTGTGAACAGTATATATGCAACCATGTCAGCAGAAAGTTTCCTAATGCACTTAAGCACTTGTTGAAGTTGCTTAGCCACGTAACAGAAATACAGCTTTAGAACGAGGACCAGTACTTTTAAGTAATTACTTATTTAATTTTCTATACACTAATTCAAGAACGGAAAGGTTGATGAGAAATTTAAGTAAATACTTTAAAACATTGATGTGTACTAGAACATTCAAAGAAGTTGAAAGGGCAGGGTTATTATGAAAGAATAAACTAATGATACTAGGTTTGAGATGTGCACAACCTTTCTGCCATACTAAACTTTATTAGAATTTCAAGTTCTTCATTCTGGCCACCTCCCTTCTTATTTTAGACTACTAGATTATTCTAGTCAGGAAAAGTTACAGTTTCACTGCTTCTTGCCTAGACAACCTATGTAGGTTAACTGATAGTTTCAAAGTGCTCACTTGACATTGTAAGTAGGCATGTATATGAAGTGTTTTAAGGCTTCTCCTGAGAGACAGGTTCTAAAAGGGATGAGTGCTGTTCTCTTCAACAGCAATTACTGTGGCTTCATAAAACTGTTATGTTTTACTATGCTGTAATGTATATTAATGTATCCATTAAATAAATACAGCTATTATTTCCTTCCGATGATTCTTGCATGCACAACAGTTCTTGGGAGGTCTTGTGCTCTTAAACTTTGTACTTTTAAACTTACTGTTGGAAAGCATGTTTACAGCAAAGTCTGAACTCCCCAAATTTCATACAGAAAGCCTTCCTATTTTGTTATTTTGAAGTATTTGTAGATTATTAAGACCAAGATCTTGATTGGGTTATTTTTTTCCCCCTCCAAACTGTAGGTGCTGGGCTCTTGCATTATTTGGTGGAAATGGTGAGACAGGATTTGAGCAAAATTCTACTTACTCAGTGTTCAGCATTTCTATTACATTGACCGATGAGGGTTATGAACATTTCTATGAGGTAAATAGTTAAAATGAAAGTTTTTTTATAATATAGATATCACTTTATGCAAAAGTGTAATCAGATGTTTTGTTTCAGGTTGCTCATACTGTCTTCCAGTATTTAAAAATGTTACAGAAGCTAGGCCCAGAACAAAGGTAATACTTACTTATTAGAATTGAGCCTGGAGTTGATCCAGTATGTTTTAACTTTCAGGCTGCCAAAAGGCATGCTTTAGTCCTGTCTTGATAGTTTTTCAGGCATTTCCTAATTTAATCTCCTTTACTGGTGCTATATCCTTATTCCTCTACATGTGAGTACCCCATGTGAATCATAAAACATTAAGGGTTTACATTTATGTAGCCAGTCTGTCTGTCTATATGCTTCTCTTACTGATGATTCCAGTGACAAATTTAAATAATGTATTCTAGTTATAAATTTCTTCTTTCACAGGATTTTTGAAGAGATTCAGAAAATTGAGGATAATGAATTTCATTACCAAGAACAGGTACTGGAAGTCAAATTCTTTTTTGAATGTTATCTGTGACCAAGTTGAACCAGTATGAACATTGTTCCTCTTTTTGGAAGTATCACTGGAGTTTTAATTCTGCCACTCTCTGTCATGTGAGTCTCAAGATGGCCTTGAGGCCATCTGAAAATTGACTCTTGTGTTTTTGAGTATTTGTATTGAGTAGCAGTGAGAGGATTAGGCAGATTGACACAGATCATAATTGTGTGACAATCATATTATCTGTGTAGTCATCCATATGTCTGTCCTTTTGATAAACATTCATGGAGAGTATTACCAACATGCTATCATGCTTGATATTTGGGGAATTAACATATTGTGAAAACATTCAACAAGAAAATCTGTGGTAATGACTACATAGAATATTAGAAACAGTGTGCTTTGGGATTTCAGGTCAGGAAGAGCATTTGCCTTGACTAATAAGATCAGTGAGGCTTCATGGATGTGGCATAAGATTTACATTCTAAGTAGTGGGAAGCACAAAAATAAGGAACTCCCGAGGTATTGTGAGAAAGTGAATGATCCTGTGTATTTGTAGCATAGGCTATATGAAAGGAAGGTATTGTATGAGACTGAAAGGTACAGAGTTTAGAGCAGGGTTTTTTTAAAACCCCTTTTGTGCCTTGGATTCCTTTGGGAATCTGTTGAATCCTATGGACTCCTCAGAATAATATTTCATCCCTCCAACTTTTTAAATTCTCAAAAAATGGCTGTAGTAATAATACGCTTAATTCATCACTTAATTTCACTAATTGGTAATATTTTGCGACATTTTCTTCTCTCTCTCTTTCCTTACATATGAATGTCTGTGTGTCTTTGTGTTTTTCCCCCCCAAAATATATGAGATTTAATTACATATACTTCATTCCTAAATGTTATTTTTAGCATGTATCTGCTATAAACAAATGCATCCTCTTGTATAACCTCACTAAAGTTGCACACTCAGGGAATTTAACATTGAAACAATACTTTTAAATATTATGCAGTCCATAGAATAGTGTTTTTAAGTGTATAAAATACAGTAGTTTACAAAGGAATATTGAAATAAAGAACTCAAAATAATAAAAATTAGTAATATATGTCTATGAATAACAAAATCTAGCAGTACATCTTAGTTAAGTAGCAATGAGTGATATTTTGAGATATCTGCAACAACTATATTGTGATTTCTGTTGGTTATAGTCATAGTACTAATACAGCTGTGGTTTGCTGCCTATATTCATATTTGAATAAAAATTGTTAGAGGTTAGTGAAAATTTTTAAAAAAAAGTTATTTCTTCCCACTCCAATTCATGTACTTATTCCCTCCCCAAACTTGCCCACTGTATCTTGAAAGAGATATCTAAGAACCTTCAATTAAGATCCCTGATTTTAGAACAGTTCATAGAGAATCTTGAAAGGTGCCTTTTTTGGATTGTCACCAGAGACAATTCCCTGAATACATGAGGACAAGGTCACAAAAACTATAAACTTCCCATTGCTCTTGACTCCTGTGTAATTTGCTCTGTATACCTGAAGTCATTAGAGATTGAAATAGAAATCTTTTTCTATGAACTGCTGTGACTTACGATAGCTATTAGAGGTTTTTTTAACACTTGTCCCTACAACTAGATTGGTATGTGTAGAACCCACAAGATATCTTACCGGGAGTGGTTTTGTTCAGTGTCCTTATTAGCTGTGGTGGCAACATGTGGGCCAGCACTGTGGCAGGGAAGGAGTGGGAGCAAGAACTGAGGACTGCCATCACACATAAGTGATACCCAAATTTCTTT